ATAGATTCTGGAGTTAGTCTTACCAGTATCTGGCGCATTTTGAGTCAAAACAAGTTTCACCCTTATCGAATGTCTCTTCACCAAGCTGTAAATTATGATGATTGTCAAAATAGACTTGCATTTTGCAACTGGATAAGACAACAACCACCTAATTTTCATCACAAAATTTTATTTTCTGATGAATCTACATTCAAATGTGATGGAAGTGTCAATACGTGGAACTGTCGTTATTGGTCGCAAGTTAATCCTCACTGGTTGAGAGAAATAGATCATCAGCATATTTGGAAGGTGAATGTTTGGTGCGGCATTATTGGAAGCCAGATCATAGGTCCTATTTTCTTTGAAGAAAATTTAAACGCTGTTAGATATTCAGCCTTGATAGAGACAGAACTTCCTGTCTTATTAGAAAATCTACCTCTGCGATTGCGCCTGGATATGTGGTTCCAACAAGATGGATGCCCGTCACATACATCAAGAATTGCCCGTGCAGTACTAAATACTATGTTTCCCAATAGGTGGATAGGCAAATATGGTCCGATCAATTATCCACCCCGCTCGCCAGACCTCACTATCCTGGATTATTATTTGTGGGGAAGGGTAAAAGACTTGGTGTATCGTGAACGCCCAACTACAAGGGACGACATGATTCGTAGGATAAGAGAAGCAATTCAATTCTTAAATGCTGATGAAATTCTTCGAGCAATCAATTCCTTCCAAACCAGAGTAGATGCTTGCATCGCAAATAACGGTGCTCAGTTTGAACACTATCTCACTTGAAAATACACAGCAGAGAGGGTTTAGAGTTGTAAGATATTGGGGGACTGACGAACCCCGGGGTCCTTCTCTTTGACTGCGCGCTGCACATAGTACATACACACGTGAGAGGCAAGGGGACTCAGTTTAATCAAGCACCCCGAAGAGATGTAAATTCGATATCCGTGCGACCTCCACGCGGTACATCGTAGGTAATGCTGACGCCGGCGGTATTGAAATTTTGAAGTCTTATAATTCAGGAAGATTTCAACTAAAAAGACTTTGTAACCAGTGTTTTGAAAACGTCTTGATGTCAGTTACAAGAATATGCAATGAAAAATATGGGTTCCCATTTAAAAAATTCAAGTCGACCTTGACATGACCTTCACGACGCCACCCAAGGTCAATCAAATTTACCCATGTAATGCATTACTTCATCTTCAACAACTTTTGTCTGAAACATTTTTCAAAATAACCACTTCCTTTGCTTTAAAATGGGGTGTACGGGTGGTCTGAAACACCCGGTATATATATGTACAGGGTTGGGAAGTAACGCGTTACTTGTAACGTCGTTACAGTTACAGTTACTTTTTTCGATAACTGTAACGGTAACGACGTTACAAATTTCGTTTGTAATGAAAAAAGTAACTTCGTTACATTTTTCGGTAACGAATAACGAATTTAACAGTTACTTTTATTGCCACTTTTTGCAAATTTATTCGGTGTAATTTTCATTCAAACAAGAGTGTGGAATACAGAATCACATTTACGTAAACGCGTCATTGGACACATGTGAAAAAAGCAGTTCAGTGAAGATATTTAGTGTCGATGGATCTGTATTAACGCCACAAAGAGGGCAGTTAAATGATAATACAGTTGAACAGCAAATTCTTTTAAAAATTAATAAAGAATTTCGATAAAATTTAGTAATGTTTTCATTTATTTTAAAATAAACCCTGTAATATTTAATAAACTAATATTTAAAAAAGTAACGAAAATTGTAACGACGCGTTATTTTTAAGTAATGGTAACAGTAACGAGTTACTTTTGAAAATTGATAACGAATAACGGTAACGAGTTACTTTTTAGAAAAAAGAACGGAAACGGTAACGAGTTACTTTTAAAAAGTAACTTTCCCAACCCTGTATATATATATATATTGTGACGTGACGCTTTTGAGCTCCGTCACCATTGCCCTGTCGAGGGGAAACAGCGTGCGCGGGGTCGTTCCTCGCGCCTGAGAGGGAACTTGAAATAACTATACTTTGATTGTTTAGACCTATTTTAGTCTTAATGTAAGATCCGAATAAAGTGCGGCTGCTGTGCGAGCGTGCGTTATCTCCTGTGTACATGAAGATACAGCCAGATACCGGAAGGAGAGGGAGCCGTATAGGAAGATACCGGATATACCGCAGAAGATACCGAAGATACCGCAAGAAAACAAAAGGTCAAGTAATAAGGTCCCGCGCCGCCGCTCTTTATAATGTAATGGGAGATTAAATCTGCATTTTTTCAGATTGATAAAGAAACGGTAGCAAATCCAGACGACGGTGATGAAGGCAACTTTCCAGGCAGCTGACTGGAAAACAGAAATCTCGGAAGCAGACGCGGGAACGGCCTGGCCAGCCGTTCACGTCCCCGAGAATCGGCATCATCACAAGTTACCGTCGCCCGTGGATTCTGAACCCCTGCGTAAGGGCAACGCCGTACAACAGCAGCAACTTTGGAGGGGGGCGGAGAATCAACCCCCATTTTTCCCGAAATTGACGAAATGCGCGGAAGATCGGCGCGGGATCCGAGGACCTCACGGAAGCACTTGAAATTCGTCACTGTTCGGTGAGCTCGTGCCACGAATACACGTGTGACGAACCTCGAGGAAGCGACCCCGAAGGAAGCCATAGCCGACGATCAGTGTAAGCCGCCGCACAGGTAGCCTAATTATTGTTCATCCGGGATCAGTTGGCGTCGTTTAGAGATACCGTCGCAGGGCGACGAATATTTCGTAAAGCTACCGCGTAAAGTAATTGTACTTGTACCGTAATTGCCGGACGCCAGCTGTCCCCGGGTGTCGCGGATTTGTTCCTCTCAGGGGGTTCACGCCGACAGTCCCGTGCCGTACCGTAGAATTTTATATCGTTAATTACCGCTAAATGTTGTTTCGTGTCATGTTAAGCGGGTATGTTACCGTTATGTTACGTGCCGAAATCTAAGTCCTAGCGTGACGTGGCAATTTTGGTCGTTTCGTATCGCATATCGAAAGGCGGGATTTGCGCGAAAAATTTCTTCACGAGCGTGTGTTACCGTAAATGAACAATTTGCTCGGCAAGAATATTTGTTACCGCGAAATCTCCGCTGAATCATCTTCCTGTTATCGATTATTCGAAAATTCTATTGTTCGACTTAAAGCCTTTGTTGCCGAGTACCCAAGGTCGCGATAAGACCGTTAAATAACGCAAACCGTTCCGCATAAACATCATTACCGCTACCGTTTTCCGAAGCCTTGGTTTTTCTGTCAAAAATATACCGTGAAATATTATCGCCGATTACCGTACCGAAAAATCGATTCGAGATATATCGAAATTTTTGGAGAGACGTGTGCCGTGGAAACGATACGAACCGGATACTCGATTACTATATTCTATTCATCATCCGTTACTGTTGAATAGTTGTATCGCAAATTACCGCCAAATAGTGTATTTAGTTCCGTTCGATTAATATCGAGATTCGCGCGAGGCTCGTGCCTCGACCTGTGTTCCGAAGTCGTATGTGTTGGTTGGACGCCGACCGCGAGTCTTATCCTGTAGTCGATTACCGCTAATTACCGTGAATGATTGTAAGAAATACCGTTCAATTTATATCGAAATCTTGCGGCGGGTCTCACGACTCCGGCCGTGTTTGGAAATTTGACTGAGTATTGTATCTCGCGAATTAAAGATTATCCCGCTGTAAATTATTATTTGAGCTTCCGTATCGCGATTTGTGAGATATTATACATCACTTTATTACCGCTTTCATCGTTGTATTATAGTCACGCATTTCGAATAGATCGTTTCTGTTATCACGATCCCTGACCTTCGTGTCAGTCGTTACAAGTCAAGTCCTTTGTCTTTCAAATTCGGATCTTCGATTGTTTATATTCCGAGATTTATCTGTTCGTTCTTAGTTTGGTTTTTTTGATACCGAATTATACATTGATCTTATCTCTGTTATACCGTTTACTATCTGTACCATTATTGTTTAATATATTTAGATAATTATAAGTAAAATAACTGACTGTCGATTATTTCTCTCTCCTAAATACTGTCTAGCACTCTCTCTCGACATCTAATCCACAAAGAACTCTGCCCCTCTGCCAAATACTGAGCCCGGGGTTACCGGATCTTGCCGTTACCGTATCGTTATCGTGGCGCGGAAATACCGCGCCTGGCGCCCAATTACATAAGTTACCGTATTATAAGTTACCGCATTTTCAGTTACCGCACGATACCGTTTCTCAGATACCCTACTGAATTTTTATAATCTAATTTTTATACCAGCCAAGACCTTGCACGCTGCCTCCTCGAGATCGGCGTTCTCGAGGTGGACAACGGCGTCGCAATATATATATATATATATATATATATATGTATATATATATATATATATATATATATATATATATACATATATATATATACTTATTCAATTCACAATATAATAATTAATAAGTGTATATGTATATACAGGGTGTCTGAAAACTTTCCGCTCTCCCGAAGTGAGAAGATAGATTGGTTCAAATTAAGAAGAAAGATCCTATACTAATTTGGGACATTCGCAATAATTATCGAAAAATTAATTAAAGAAGATCGATCAATTTATGTGAGTAGAAGCACGCAGCGACGAGAGTCGTCCACTGTGTAACCTTACATTATGCGCGCAGCAAAGAGGTGAATGAAGAAGCAGTGGTGAGTGAGGCCCACTCCAGAGGTCTTTCCTAATTTGAATCAATCTACTTTAACATTTCGGGAATGCAAAAAGTTTTCAGACACTCTATGTATGTGTGTGTGTGTGTGTGTGTGTGTGTGTGTGTGTGTGTGTGTGTGTGTGTGCGTGTGCGTGTGCGTGTGCGTGTGCGTGTGCGTGTGCGTGTGTGTGTGTGTGTGTGTAGATGTAATGTAGTTATAAAAATGTAAAACTTCTTTATATTAATAAAGAAATGCTCTCCGTAGAAATATTCCCAATTTTTATATAAAAATTTATTTTATTACAGTTTACAACATTTGTAACTTCAAAATGTACAGCAAATTTCGTCCTTGAAGTATTATCTTGTGCATTTGGTTTCATTGGCATAACAATAAAATATTATTCATTTTGCATTAATAGTGAGACTGTAAGTTGATTATCTATTTTCATTTGTTTGAATATAAATGCTCCTAATATATAGCATCTTATATCCAATAATATTTTCGTACTTACTGATATAAATTATAAAAATTTATTGAAACAGATGAAAGATTTAATGGAACAGCTTCAACGTATCTTTAACGATTTGAAAGATAGTAATGAAATTGCCATCATAGAAAGATACGGAAAAAACGCAAAATATTACACGGCTATATTGACCAGTAAGTAATAACTTTTTTAATTTTTCCACTTTTTATTTTTGATGAGTTTGCTGTTGGAAATTTCTTTATGAAATTTCTATAAATTCTCCAAAATATATAAATTTAGAGATATAGATATAATACAGTACAGAAATATTCACTAGGCAAATAATATTTACGAAATTAGAATACTTTTATTCTTTTATTTTATGATTATCTTCTTTAATTGTTTCCTCTCCATTGAGGAAGAAAAATTTTTTTAATATACTTTAAACATATAATTACAAAACTGAAAGATGAATTAATAATCGTTAAATATAATTATCATATCGAAATATTTATAATAACTGAATGTATAATGCACTTCTAATTTTTTACAATTCAATGTCAATTGAATTTAATCACTTATATTTAACCAGTCGTAAAAATTAAATATAATGTAATAGTAGAAATAAATTATAATGCATGTATTTTACAATATACAATAATTTTTGTACACACACAGACACGCACGCAAGCATGTATGTGTGTGTGTGTGTGTGTGTGTGCGCGCACGCGTGTTTTATGTGTATTAAAAAGAAATTAAATAGGATTATCACACAAATACACACATACACATACATACATGGATATATTTAAATTTAAAAAGATTTTGTATCAATTATTTTCCTTTACAATTCATTTATAATAAAGTATCTTAATATTTTAATTAGAGAATTAGAAATTTTATGATGGCTTGCAAATAACAATATTTAGTATTCATTATTTGCAGTGTGTTCGTTATCACGAGCGCTCAAATATGGCCGGATATTTTGCAAATTATTTCATCCGTAAACAAATCTCGATCACGTCAATTGTATATTTTGACTGAATATTTCATTGATGAAGAAAAATACTTCTATTATCTACTACTACATATAAATGCAGCTATTTCTATAGGATTTATTGCAGGAGCAGCAACAGGGACAACGCTGATCGCATATTTCCAATATATGTGCGCAATGTTTGCAATTGCCAGGTAAAATAATAAACATAAAAATAAAATATTACAAATTTGAAATTAAAAAATTCTGTATTCTTATTTCGTACAAATCTAAAGATTTATTCTGCAAGATATATATTATAACTTATATGCAAAATTTAAATAATCTATCTATTAAAAAATGAAATTATTGTATAAATTATACATAGAAGGTAATATAATTACATCTAAATTTAATGTCTAACAATAAGTTTAGTTTTGTTCTAAAACAGTAGCTTTAAGTAATATATAGTTAAGTAATGTAAGTAATAATGAGATTAAAATATAAGAAGAAAAAAAATGATTTTTATATTATTCAAATTTTTTCGGTTTTAGCTTTGTATAATTACGAAAATATTATGTTCTTTTTATTAAGATATGCACTATTGTAATACTATTCCGTCAAAATTATAATTCTACCACTTTGCGATTATTATTTAAGATGTCATTATATACATAGATATACATAGATAAATAATCTCACAATTATATAATTAAATTATTTACAGTTACCGTATCGAGAACGCAATAATGATTCATATATCGCAAGATATTATCTTGCAGAACAGGAATTTGATTTATATGAGCATAAAAAGTGCTGTAGATATTCATCGAAAAGCTATGGAGTTAGTATTTATATAAAATAAATATATAATGTGTAAAATATGCACAGTAACATTTTGTTGCATTTAAAGGTTCTGTACATATTTGATATCTAAATTTGAGATATCATTCTTCTTTTTAATAATATGTGGAGTGATGACTTTAAGCCTGAATATTTTTCGAGTAAGTTTAATTTTTTCTCTTTTCGATTATTAAATATACTCACTGAGTTATATAACATTCTTTCCTAGTTTTTAGATATTAATATACTTGTAATCGCACTTTTCAACTTATACACACACCCGCGCGCGCAAACAATATTTAGTGGTTCATATAATAAAAAAGTATGAAATTTAAAATAATTATGTAATAAAAAAAGTAATTAAAATCGATCACCACTGGTAATATTTATTGAGGTAAAAAATCACAACGTTTCGATCATAGGTTTTGGTCCTTTTCGAGTGAAAGTAATTAAATTAACTGTTCTATCGTGAGAAATAAGAAATCACTTCTAGAAATAAGAAAGACAGTCTTTCTCTGTGTGTTGATGGAGACAGTGACATGATAATCTTGACGAAGTGATTTCTTATTTCTCACGATAAAACAGTTAATTTAATTATTTTCACTCGAAAAGGACCAAAACCTATGGCCGAAACGTTGTGATTTTTTACCTCAATAAATATTGCCAGTGGTGATCGATTTTAATTACTTCTTTTATTTATTTACTAGCGACCTTCAAGAAAATTTAAATAATTATGTAATGTTTTTCCGCGAGTTGAGCTATTTAATTTTCGAACGGATAGCTGTCGGTTTCCAGGAATCGCCGGGTATATATATATATATATATATAATATATATATATATATAGGAAAGAAAAAGAAAATCCGAGTTATAAGAAAACAGCACGTGTATTTATTGAGTTGTGTACAATGTGTGTGTGTGTGTGTGTACAATGTGATATGTGCGTGTGTGTACATGTGCGTGTGCGTGCTCTGTTTGTCGCGCGCGCGCGGCATCAATTCGATAAATCGACGCTGAAATATACGCTTGTGCGAAATCAATCGAGAAATATGATTGCGGACGTCGTAACCGTGGATCGTGGCTAATTATACGATTATTCAGTAACTTCAGAGTCGCACGAATAATTATAATATAATCGTACGCCTCCGATGCAACGAAATACAAATACGGTTTTCCGTGTTAAACGCGTTTGCACGGCAAGTTTTTGTGGCCCGGCAGCCGGCTTTTTGTCGCGTTTCTTACGCGCTCAGCTGTGCGGGATTTCCTACCGTTTATCGCGATAATCAGCTGACGCGTGTATTTAATTTTATTTCCCCCCGGATGGAAACGAGATTGTGGAAGGCGCGACGCTATCTAACGTCGGAGGCGGCTTTTGTTCCACCTCGAGAAAAAGGCGCGATGCCTGATAATGGATCGGCTGAGACAGCGTTCACACTATCTTCTGGCTTAATTGATTCGCTTAGGATTTCTTTGCTTGCTAGGCTTGCCTTCAGACTTGCTTCGCTTGTTCGGAGGATCAGAAAGAATCTCTCGGCTGACATGCCGCCGAGAACCCGTTTTATATCGGCTAATTATCCCGCGCCGGCGTATTCGGTAATTATCCCCACCGAGCGGCGGTAAAAATATCGGAGCGGTACGGGGTGCCGTGCGCGGGTTCTCAGCCGGCGACTCCCGACGGCAGTGTCGCTCTTTCTCCTAGCCGACCGTTTTCTAAGATCTCAAAAAAAGATGGGCACACAGCCCTCTGCCCGACTGGTGGTCGTCGGGCGGCAGCTTCCGGCGGATGTTTGGCCGGGAAGGATGCGTTTCGGGGCGCATCGTTACAATTACAACATAAGTAACATCTTTCTTATTTATTTCTCCTCCATTACTTTCAAAATAATTAATTAAAATAATTTAATTATTAAAATATTTAAAAATTTATTTAATTATACCTCTAAAACATAGTTGTAAATTATTTATAATTACAATGTAATGTAAGATTCAGGATAGAATATTTTTATAATTTTATGTATCACATATGTATTTTAATACATGTTTATATCTTGATATATATTGTGACGTGGCCGTCCCGTGCGCGTACATCCGCCCCGACCATTTTGGCGGAACGAAAGTCGAGCGGCCGCGCCAGAGGCCAGAGCGAGAGAACGATATCGAGCTCCCCGGAGAGACGAGTCTTATTGTAATCATAGACGCCTTTCTATTAATTTGATCTGTATTTTTCTTGTAATATACGACATCGGGCAACCCGCCGAAGGAGAAATCGGAAGGAAACAGCGAGGGATTTTGTACGACAGCCGGCAACACCACGCTCCACGACAGCGAGCAAAGAGGAACGTCGCGCCGCATCAACGTGGTGGTGGAATCTTCGCCCCACGGCATAAAGAGGGACGGAAATCCGACTCGTCCTACCCTCCGTTAAAGGGAGGGGCAACGACAACCGAGCCTCCACTGGACCCTTATCAATGGGCCCGCGACAGCCAATCCTTCACCGGGCCCTTATCAATGGGCCCGCAACAGCGGAAAATTTAAATTAAACTATTTTGGCGTGAGGCGCCAGGATACCGCGCGTAGCGCGAGGCGCCAGGATCTTTCGCGTACCGCGAGTCGATTGGCCACGGGGCTGCGCACCCCACCAAGCGGTCATTGACGCCGCTATCGACCTCGGGCCGCGAGATCCAGGGATCATTCTTGGACGGGCGCTCGACTGAGTCAGAAAATTGTGCTGGCGTTTCGTATATGGTTGTCGTTGTCGAATAAGTAATGATTGTCGCTGTAGAGGGACGAGAAGAGGACGGAGCCGGGGATCACCCCTTTTCGAGGAGGAACGATAAATCGGTGAGGTTGCCCATCTTCCCTTTGTGAGCCACGTACGCGATTTAGTCCGCGTGCCGGCCGTTCTGTCGACGTCGCCATTTTTCGTGTTCCACGACCGCTTGAGCCTTTTGCTGAGCCGTCGATATTTTGCGTATTTTCGGGCGACCGGAGGCAAGCGACTGAGGAAGAACCATCGTAACGTCGGCATTAGGTTGATAAGGCGGCGTTCGTCTCTCTCCGTGTTTCAGGCTGCGAAGGACGCGTAACTCTCGGCTATCGAATATCAACCGCGTGCGCAATAAATCGCGAGAAGCATTTACGCCGCACGAGCTGTCGAATTGTTGTCGTAGTCGCGTAAAGCAGTCCCGTAAAACGTTTCTGAGCGACTCTTGTGTGTCTCGTCGTGTGCAATTGTCTGCGTAATTAGTTATTAAGACTGCGTGCGTGTGTTTAACGATCTATGTGGGAGAGTATTTGCGTCGTTGTTGAATATATGGTGTCCGCGGGTAATACGCCATTCGTGATTCTCGTCGAATATAGCGCGGTGTGAAGTAATTTTCCGAGTATTGCGATCGGAAACTGGAGTCGTTTAAGCTGCATAAAAAGGCGAAACGCCGGCCAGAGAAAATTTTCCGGCAGCCGCCGGCTATCGAATTTCAAACTTATCGCTCGCCATTGTAAATTAGGCCCGTCTTCGCAAAATTGTAAAGTATTTTCGATCTCGAGTTAGTTCCGCTGTCGAACCCGTATGCTGTCGAATAAACTGACTAATGGAGGAATTGCGTAGGACAGACTGTTGCGATATAATACTGGTGTGGCGGCCGAAATTTTGAGCTATTTTAGAACCGATCATTTGCCGAACTCTTGCTGTCGAACTTACGATTGTAATTTGAGAAGTATTGTCGATTCCAGCGAACCCCGGCCACAAAAACGGCCGTGGGCAAAGAGTCGAAAGAACTTAGCGCTCTCGTTTCCGTTATCTATTTTGGAACCCGCGTTCGACTTAATCGAATTGTTCTCATTCTTCCGCTATCGATTTATTTGTATGATTCGTTCTCGTTTCTAGTGGGAATCGTAGTGAACCAATGTCTCTGTAAGGAATTATCAATCTCTGTTGAATTATCGCTTCTTATTGATTGCTGATTTATTGTTTAATGTTGATCCATTTCTTATTATTGATTTATTATTATTCACTCGTATTGTTATTTTATTTTTCTAGTAATAAACTTGTTATCTTTCTTTGTTAAACTCGCGTAATTTATTTAAGTATCAGTCTCTCGTGGAAGTCGATTACCGTCTTTGTCTGTAGTGTGTCGTCTTAGTGAAATCTCGCATAATCAATTGACTTTCTCTCAAAATCCCTCCCCTCTACCGTTAGGCGAGCTAGTCGGCCCGTGGCGAAGCAGGCTATCGTTTTTAGCGTCTTTCGGCTTTTCGCGAAAACTGGTGCGTGAAAGACCGCATCTGGCGCCCAACCTATCGAGGTATCGAGACGGCCTCCGCTCCGCCGCGGCTCGCGCGAGAACGCCCTTCATCCCTGTTCCTCAGAGCGCGAGTATCATTTTCGCTACCTTTTTGACGACGTTTTCGCTCCCCCTCGCGCTCTCCTCTCCTCCAGCCGGGGAGTGTCGCGAAATTAATTAAATAATAATTTATTTAACAATAGAATTGAAGAAAAGCGTCGCAAAAATTTGGCGCCCAACGTGGGGCCACGTCGCAACCAAAAAAGAATTCTTGCGCCTGAAAAAGGGGCACGCGTTGAGAAAGAGAAAGTTCGGGGAGGTTATGCGAGCTAAATTATTTGTCGAGTCAATTCAAAGTCACTCTTCTTTTGTCGTGTGTTCGTTTCTTTTGTAGTTAATGCTTTCGTTCGAACGTTTCTTTTGCCGATCTTTACGTATTTGTTGTCGACCTTCGATTATTCAAACATTAACGGCCTTATCTTGTATTACTGAGCTGTCGACGTGTATTATCGCGGTGATCAGGCCACGTCTTGCTGAGTTCTAGCATATTTATTTTGTTACAAGTTTTTCTCTCTGTATCGTATGAGTCAAGTCGATCCAGAGGACGACTGGATTTTCGTGTTGAGTCGCGAACAATTATTAGAAGAATTACAGCGGCGTAAACTTTCCACGGAAGGAAGTTATTCAATTCAGACCGCGCGTTTGCTGCGTCGCGTACGCAAAGATAGAAAATTTAATATAGACAAAATGTCGGACGAGGAACTTTTAGAAGTCCCTACGGATGCGAGAGCTCGACCTGATAGCCCGATGGATCGGGCGAGATTCAGCGTACCCTCTGGCTCTCGCGATACTCCGCGCTCGAGAGAACGAGATTTTCCGTGT